TTTAAATCCACGAATTCAAGGCAATGACACTGTTTAAGATACTATTTCATTGCACTTGTGTGAAGGAAGAAGTGAAATATAAAAATATTTCATGAATATGTTTAAAACCTTTAATTTATTTACTGTAGTTTAATAACTCTAGATCTGATATTGCATTTAAATAAATAGGAATCTATCGTCCATTTGTTGCGAAAAATCATCATATAACCTTTTAGAAAATTAAATTAGTGAACAATTTTATGAATTTTTCCTTTGTGATATTCCAACAGTATCCACTTCCAATTAGTGTGACAAGTAGCGTTAAGTGAACGTTGTGTGTTGCGCTCACCAGATTTTTCTTTTTCAAGTAAGGAAGAAAATTTCGATACTGCCTTGGACTATTATGACCTGGTGTACATTATGACGGAAATTAAATAGAGATGTATATTTTATAAAGTTCTGTATTGTTCTGTACATGGCTTGATTTAAATAAATCCGATTAGGGCTCTCCATTACCAGCGGCTCTCCTATTCCTATAATGGCGATGATATCGTAAAGTTTCAATAGCGGCCGAGTTGGGGCTAGTACCGGAGGGTCCATTGCTTATTCAATAAATTCCATTCTCCATCTTGTGACTGGCCCTGTCAAAGAGCCCTAACTCAGCGACAATGGTTGATAGGATAATTGGATTTAGCCTCCCAAGATGGCTGCGCAGTTCCTCACCTCCCTCCTATCTCACTTTTCTAATATCCTCTCTCTCTCTCTCTCCCTTGTCAATAATTTTAAAAACGTCCTGGATGAGAAACATTCTTAGCTTCTTCCAACCGCATTGGGATTTATGGACTAGGTTGTGGTTCGTGTACGAACTCATAGCCCGTGGTACAGACCCCTTTTTATCAAATCATTTACATCCGGCTGAAACTTCGTAAATAGCTTCATCTCATCGTAACCTACAAATATTTTATTTACGAAAAGTCTCGGAATTAAGGCCTTTTCAATCTAGAGGTCGGTAAACTTTGTCTATTTAATTAGGTACTAAAAACTGGTAAATACCCATTTGCTTAAAAAAAGGCGGCCTTCGAAAATATTGAGCCGTTTGGCCTATATAACCTGGTTATTTTGCCAATTTTGGACGTAGGTCACGCCAAACGACTAAATATTATCTTATGATTCAAGTGGAAAGCAAATGGGTATTTACGAGTTTTTAGTACCTAATTAAATAGACAATGTTTACCGACCTTCAGATTGAAAACGCCCCAATTCCGAGAATTTTCGTAAATAAAATATTTGTAGGTTACTATGAGATGAAACTATTTACGAAGTTTCAGCCGGATGTTAATAATTTGATAAAAACGGGTCTGTCTGTTCCACGGATTATGAGTTATACATGAACCAGAACCTTGTCCATAAATCCCAATGCGGTTGGAAGAAGAAGGAACAAGAGATATATTTGTAAATTATATTAATGTACATTGGGCAAAAGTACATTATTGATCAAGTTTATTTTTTTTAGCATAGCTCTAACGTTATTGCTTAGAGCTTGTATTGAAAAGAAAAGCTAAACAGGTCACTATACCTAAATCGACTGCTAGTAATTTTGAGTAAATTGATGAAAAATTATTATATCTAGTAAAGAAAAATTACTTTTCCAATACTTGAAACACACTATCCGATATTATAAAACAACAGAGAGGATCAGAGTCACCAAATTCACCTGGAAAGTATTAGGGCAATGAAGTCTACTCAATATTGTCACAAATTAAATAAAGTAAATATAAGGTACACTTATTTCGCCTGTATAATAAAATTATGGAAACTTTGTTTCATGAATTTATATTTATTTAATTTGCTGGAAATTGTATCTTGTTTTTACTCTACAGGTTATAATACTTCTTTTCTCTTTTATGTCATTTTTTACGTTCAGTAATTCCTCAGAAATGGAATCAATGTACAATTTGATACAAGTATTATATGTATTGTTGCTTAAAGTCGGCACTTCCCGATGATTTATCTGCCCCAAATAACCACAATAAAACTGTCAGTAATCCTAGTTTCATAAAGTAGAGGAGGGAAGAGCTCAATGATGACAGCCATTAATAAGTGGGTTTTATAAGAACTCACTACAGACTTAACCCGTTCATAAATCTCATTACAGACTACAGGCGATAGACCCGCCGGCTTTAAATCTTTCATTGCTTCTATAAAGCGTTCTTAATCAGATAATCTTTGGATTGTAGCCAGATCTATAGCTGTAAAAATCTGGGTCAGCTCTCATGAATGAGGGTCGGAAACAAAAAAAAATCTCCGAAAGAGTCAATTTCTTGAGATTTATGCCTGTATATATTTTTTTTGTCATTTTAAACGAATGTGGAAAAAAGATTTCATTTGGTCACTTCTTATTTGGTTAAAGTTAAGAACCCTTTAGTGACTCGTAATAAATTTATGAAGACAAGTGTTCGCCCGGTGGTCGAAATTCGACCATAGCCATTAAAATTTTGAAGAAAAGATAATTAAATTCAATAAATAAAGAGTAAATCACGATTCAAAAATCCTCATTAATTTATATAAACAAAGTTTCAATTTCGATTAAAAATCGAGCTTAAACTACCTAAAATTAAAATTATTTATAAGTAATACAAAATAGACTCATTTAAAATATTGAATTTCCATTTTAATTTATGTGTGTTATTATCACAATAAATTAATGTTATGATTTTTTTTTAATATTATTTATTTGTTTATTGATAAATATTAAAATCTGTCTCAATAAAGGACATTTACAATAGAGTTCTGAGAGCACATTCACACCATATTTACAAATTAAAAAAAAATAACTTCAAATAATATTAAGCTACAATAGAACAAAATAACATATCATAGTGAAGAAAGAAAATATAAATAATAGTAATAATAGAATGAAAATAAATGAATAAAATAGAATTAAAATTATCTTAAAAAAAAAAAAGTAATGAAAATAAACATCTTAGATGCAGGCATACCTATTTACACTATTTACAGTCGGCCGTACGAACTCCGAACCATACTTATCCCCCCACATGTGGAGGGAAAGCAAGGATTCAGGAGATCCCTGCGCTTCTTCCTCAACCATTTCACTGGTATTGAAAGTCAGCGTAAATTGAGTAAGGGCGCTAATGTTATGATAAAGAAAGTAAAAAATAAATTTAAATTAGCAATTTCAACTGAGTTTAAATCAATTTTTATGCAGAACTTTTCTGAAAAAAAATGTTCTTTTTTAATGTTCTGTTATTGTTTAGTATGTAGCCTTGACCATTGCCATAAATTTCAAAATTTTAGTTTTAATTTTAATGTACTCTACTTGTTGCTACATACAATTGTCCCAATAATACAGAAATTTTTCAAAAAGTTTGACCTCGCGTTCTTTGAAAATCGAATGGAAGTATTGTGTCAGAAAATATTAAATTAATTCTTGGAATTAAAATTCTTTTATTTAAAATAGCCCCTGTTAGTATTTCATTCTTATTCGTGTTCCATTAACTACTGCTTGTGCAGTATTTAGTTAAGAATGAGTATAACTATAGCATTTATTTTAATATTTAATTTATGAAGAAAAGACTAACTTGGAACTCACATACCAGACTTCAAAGACAAGAACTTAACCGACGATTTGGCCAGCTATACAGATTACTTAACAGAAAATCCAATCTCTCAATAGAAAACAAACTATAAATATACAAGACCATACTCAAACCCATCTGGACCTACAGACTTGAACTGTGGGGGACAACTAAATTTTCGAACATCAAACGCATCCAATCCTTTCAGTCTAAAGTCCTCCGTATAATAGTCAATGCTCCTTATTACGTTACAAACAAAACCCTACATCATGACCTTTACATCCCTTATGTCCTTGACGTTATTCCATCTCGATTCTCAAATTTTCATCTGAACCTAATCCACCATCCTAACTCCTTAGCATAATCCTTATCCAGCTCCAGTCACCCCTACAACCCTCTTCGAAGATTGAAACGGCAGTGGCCTCGAGACCTTTTGTAAAGACTGTCACTGGAGTTTTGGCATCACTCACGTCATGAGCGTCTGTTGCTTTAGTGCCCTCTCGCAGTTTCCACTGGTTTCCTACCGGTGACGCGTCTGAGAGAGAAGCGCTGGGATCTCTTGGAGTCTAGCCTTGTCCTCCACACTTGGGGGAAAAGGCCCGACTCGGTGCTCCCTCGGCTGACTGTAAATATTGTAAATTAAGTATGAATGTTTTTCTTTTTTATATATTTATTTGTTTTACTTCTGACTTATTTAATTTGCTACCAATTTCTGTATTTTTATTTTTTATTTATTTTTTTTTTAATTTGATTTCAAGTTACATTTCTTTGGTTTTATAGTTTTTACCTTTGTTATATAGATATATATTTTTTTATTTATTTAAAAAAAAAAAATTTTATTGCATTGTATATATAGTATGAATGGGCCTCACTAAGCTTTAGTACTCAGTGCCCTTAAATGTGGCAAAATGTATTATTTCTCAATAAAAAGATCTAAAAAAAAAATAAAAAATAAATGAAGTAACATTCTATGATGTCTTCTCTTCAAATAATAGTTCCGATCACTCCGTATTGATAGCACTAAAGCTCGTCAATAGCTATTAAACAAAAAAAGAAGGAAGAAAATCGGTTGAATAATAGAGGAGTAAAAGGTGCTGAACCGTTTTGTGTTTTGGCTATTTATATAACGATAAATAACTGTTTTTTTTTTATGATATGGCGATGCCGTGTTTTTTTTTTTTAACTTTAACTCCCTTTTCCCCTTCCTCGGTGTAAAATTCTAGTTCTGGCCCTGGGACCTACTCTCTTAGAAAAGTCTTTGGAGCACCTTCTTTTCAGGCCATTGTTGTTTTCATCACAGAATATATTTATTTATTAACATATTTGTGAACCTCTCATAAAAATAAAGTTTGATATGTTAGTTGATAAAACGTGATCGTCTTGGCCATAACTCACGAGACTGGAGCTGTTACTAAAGAGGACGCTATGTTGCAGGGAGGCGGCAGCGGAGGCGGACGAAGCGGCGGCGGGGGCATGAAAGGCGGACGAGGCGGCGGGGGCGGAATGGCGGTGGCCGCGGGCGGCTACAGGCCCGTCTGGGCCCCCCAAGTCTACAGCCCCCAGCTCAGGTTCACCCCCAGCCAGGGGGCACCCCCTCAGTACACGTCGGCACAGGCCCAATACCCTCATCACAATTCGGTAAGTCAACTTACAACTTAACAATATTGTAGTAGTAGAAAAGTATAAATAGTAGTAGTAGTATTAATTGCTGGTATAGAGAAGGAAAGGATTAGAAATCATCTTACTTTACTGTACAGATATCGGGGGAAAGAGCGGTTGCTCATTTACTGAATCAATTGGATCTCTATTTTCATTATTTAATTGTGCGAAACTGATATATGAAATGAAAATATTTTTTTATTATCCTGGGACTGTTGTCCCTTTAGGACAGATTACAGATAGAGAATAAATGGCCTGTGTGGCCATACATAAAATTAATTAAAGGAAGGAGATGGTCCGGGGTTGCGGTCATAAATAGACTAAATAGTAGTAAAACTATTTTATTGAAAGCCGACGTTTCTATCCTTACCACTGGCTTTCCAGTTCTAAGTGAAACTCCTAGATGAACACACCTGTAATTTTATTTATCTCCTGTAGATTTTGTATAGAAGTATATTCACATTTTCATTTATTATATATAACACTACAACAATTGTTAGCATCTATTTACTTCAGTTTAGAATCTTGTTACTCAGCGTACTTTGTCCATATTTTATTGTTCTTACTGTTTATAATTTTAATAATCTTATTCACATTGTTTATTAATTATGTCTAAATATTATGTATTTGCCACAATTCTCTATCTTTTTGTATCTTGCCCGTTCTAGCCCTGATGAAGACCTGCAAAGTCGGGTCGAAACGTCGGCTTTCAATAAAATAGTTTTACTACTATTTAGCCTATTTATGACCGCAACCCCGGACCATCTCCTTCCTTTATAATGCAACGGTCAACTATTAAATATTCAATAAAATTAATTACTTACAATTCTTATTAAGGTTATGATTTTGGAAAAAGAATAAAACAAAAAATAAAACAATTACACTAAAAACATACTGATGTGTATAGTACAAACGTGGGAAAATAAAATAGCATAAGTAAAGAAAATCATATCTGCGGAAACTTTAAAAAGTTCTCTTATCTACATTTCCTGATCAATCGGGTTGGGAAAGGAGTAGGTGGTTAAAAAGGAGAGATTTAAATGAGGAATCTGATTGTACATGTCGGATATCGGGAGGGATGGTATTCCAGAAGGAGACGGCTCGAATTATAATGGATTTGTCTAATCCTGTAGTTCGGTGGGAAGGTGGATAGAGGTCAGATGTACGAGATCTAGTGGGACGGGATTGAATGGAATATTTGAATTGTAGGCTGTGAAAAATATAGGAAGGCCGCTGAGTTCTGATGGCTTGCTATAGAAAGGCAGAAAGGAAGTACAGACGGCGGTTGGATGTATAGAGCCACTTCAACTTGATGTAATACTGGGTTATATACGTATCTCTTAAGATTGCGGAAACAAAAAGTATTGCGCGGTTCATTAGACGTTTAAGTTTGGCCTCGAATTCTCCCGAGAGTCCGCCGTACAGACAGTCATAGTCGAAGTTGGGGAAAACAAAGGAGGAAACCAGGAGTTGACGGGATTTATATGGAAGGAGATAGCGGCGACAGTTAAACTGTTTCAGGGTAGAGATAGATGACGTGAAATTTGGGAGATGTGTGATATCCAGGAGAGAGTTTGATCGAATGTAACACCAGGTTTTTTTTACGGAAGTATGGAATGAGATCTGTGAGTTGTTCAGGAAAAGATTGGGGAGTGTCTGTAAGGATTCGAGGAGTGTGGGAGATGCGATCAGGGTGGCTTTCTTCTTCTTGGCGTTTAGAGTAATCCTATTGTGATTTGCCCAGGCACATATTGCGTTTATATCTTTCTGTAATTTTTGGATGGCGTCAGAGGATTCGGTTGGATTGAAGGAGAGGTAAATTTGGTCGTCGTCGGCGTACAGATGGTATTGGCAGTGTAGGATAGAGGATGAAAGGTCATTGATGTAGATGGAAAAAAGGGTGAGAGATAAGGAGGAGCCTTGTGGGACACCTCTGGACAAGAGTAAAGATTCTGATAATTTACATAAGATTTATAATTTACACAAGACTGTCTTTTTTTCCATCTTTCCTTTTTTTTTTCTTTACTCATTTTTTTACGTAATTCTTCTTCTGAGCGTTACTTCAACACTTAATGAAACGATGTTATTGTAAGCAGAAAAATGTCACAGAATAAAACTTTTTTTTTTTTTATTAGATGACTTATTCAATAAATGGGTATTTCATTATCATGAACAGAATCCTCTCCATAATAACTTTTAAAATGTTCATACTGTTCATCCAAGTTCGAAATTATTTTTTGATGTGGGAGGCGTTGCAAAAGATATACTTTCGTCAGGTGGCAGAATTTAGGGTGTGGTAAATTTCAAACAATGTAATTTTTTTCAATTCAGTCAATAAAATGATAAATGTTATGTGATGATGTTTAATCCAAAATATTATTATTATCTAAACAGTGGTTAAAATATTTTTTTGAATTTTATTTTTAAGGAGAGCAGAGGGTTATAGAAGATGCAGGAAAATGAAGTTTCCGCTCGGAATAAAAATTTCTGGTCCCGGTCCTGCTTTCAGCTTATCTTAACTTTAAGTTTATGTCGTTAAAAATGACCAGAATAGTTTTAGGAGGAAAAAAAAACTCACATTTTCAACCATTTAAATAATACTACCTTCTCTCTGGGAGAATTGAAGTTGGGATGAGTAAACTGGGAGGACAGAAGGTAAAGGGAGGATGGAAGCCGACGTAGGTTCCGGAGGAGGAAGGAAGAGAAAAGTTGGCGGACTAGGGCGGACACTTTGGCAGGCTGCCAGGGCTCCATTGATAGCTCCAGCTCCAGCTCAGGTCCTCCGGTTATCCAGTTACAGCTCCTTCTGAAGCTGGAGGCGCTTTTTTTTTCTTTTCTATTTTTATTTCAGAGATCTTATCAAAAACACTCTCTCATCGCAATAAGCAAGCACTTAAGGTTTTATTTAGCGTTTCCTCATTTTTTGCACAGTAATATTCTCTCAATTCAAAAGGGGCTGCTTCTGAGTGTGTGCATAGTGTGTTTTACATTTTTTTTTTTTTTTACTTATCTCTACATTTTGTAGAATAAGGCTGCTTGCGCTAGTTGTTCATGACTATGTAATTAACTTACGCCACTGCAAGTTATAAATTATTAAAATATAGATATTTTCACATAACATATTAAACCTCCAGTACTGGGTGTTTGGGGCATCAGCCCTTCTCTAATCCCGAAGTAGGGGGAATCAAACCTGGTTGCTAATAAAATGTTTAGAAGGGGGTGTTCATGCGGAATGTGAAATGATTAAAATGGGATTGACATAAAATATATTGATAAAATAATAGATTGAAATAAACAGAGATTGATGGGGACTACTAATATATACATTTGTATTATTGAGTTAGTGAACTATTTATTAATATGGGCTGACCAGATAAATGAAGATTCTGGCTGGTTTGTTTTCATCGTAGGACTGGCTTCTGTGTCATCTGAGTATTGTGGTCTGGCTTCTTCTAATGCTGTACTAGTAGCTGGCATCATCTAATGTCTTGTCATGTGCTGGCATCTATGCCGCCTCTTCTTGCCACTTCTATCTGTTGATCTAGCTTGAAATGTAATTAAGACATTATATGAACATGCTTGGTCATGGAGACCATTCGTAGGCAGTTTCAGACTCATACTGGCACTGGTATACTTTGGCTCTTCTGGTATCAGGTCACCAGGCAGGGCCAGTTGCTAATCTTCTTCAGGTTGCCAGTAGATGGCACTGTCTTGATGACCGATAGATAGCGCCACTGATGTGCACTATTTGACGCATTCAAATTATGAATTACAGTGAATGGCCTTAACACCGGGTTTTAATATAAACGAAGATTGTTTCGTGTCATCACTGTCCTGAAAACATTTAAATTCGTACAGATTTTTATATTTGGTAGTGGGTGTAACTTCACCTCGATTCTTCATACCTCAACAAACAGTATTTCATGATCAAGAAAAGAAGCATCTCTGCCCCCCAAGGCTTTCAAAACTCGGACCTGTAGTAAGTAGTTAAAGGGACACTTTCCACAGGTGTCAAAATTTAGAGTGTGGCAAATTTAGACAATGAAGTAAAGAAAAATATTTCTTCTTTCTGTTTTTATTGTCCTTAAATCTTTCAAGTGAATGAGTTAATATTGTGAGCTTTTATTTGCTCCAAAACATATTACTTGGAGTATGTTCCGAGCTCTTGCTTATACCATTACTACTCATGTTCTTGTTTTTTTGTTGGTGTTGTTATTGTTGTGTTTGAATAACACAAATTCTCCAATTTGAATAGCATAACATCCAAAAATCCAACATAATATCGCTTTAGCTTCTTTGGAACTTATTTGGTGAGCGTAGCCCTAAAGGTTCATCAATGATGATCGTCATAACCACACTGCGGAAATGTATTTTGCATGGGCATCTTATGATGTTTTAGTGAACTGATAAAGGTCTATTTTACCAAGCAGGTGATGAATAGTTAAGGAAAAGAGAGAGTGATGCTCTTTTCGGAATGATCGCGATCACCATCCTCCCAATTTTGAATGGTAAACAGACCTCCATATTGTTTTTTGGTCAAATACATTGGTAAAGTCGATGTTTTACGTCATTCGAGATTCGAAATAAAACAGTATTTGAAAAATCTATTTGTTTATGTTGAATTCGTTGATAAATTAAAAAAAATGAAGAAAATTGTTGAATAAAAAAAAAAAGATTCTTACTTTTGTTTAATTTTCAATTTTTGTTTTTTTCCGTCTCCCTGATCTTGAAGAAGTAAATTATGAATTGGATACCTCCCAAAAAAAGATTATGAAAATCTGCCGGCAATTCCAGAGGCGGACGGACAACGGAACTGGTCCCCTGTGAAGATAATTATCCATGAGGGATTGGCCCGCGTAATTGTAGCAATTATTTGTCCTAATTACAGGCTAAATAGAATTAGATTTGAGGGGGATTGAATAGCCATCTCTCCTCTCTCAGGTACTTAGCAAGCCCTAATGGTACTCAATAGTCATTTTCCTTCTTAATAACTTCAGCCGCTAATGGATCTAAACTCTGAATAACTCGAGGGAAGAAAGAAAGTCCGTTGCATCATTTCATTTCTTTGAACGATTGCCTTCCTCTATGTTCCTAGGTTTTTGGTTAATCGTATGATTTCATATATGTATGTATGTCTTTCATTTTGAACTCTTTTATTTATAACCAATTGCTGTAATCGGTGTTATGAAGCTCTGGAAAATTTTACTTTTCCCTAATGATATCGATTAAAAAAATATCGAGAAGTAGATAATTGATAACCTCGACCCAAGCAGAATAATAGACTAAACACAAATATCAACAGTGATTCATGATATTGCTCTCCTCTACCTTCGTAGAAGAGAAACTTAGAAGAGGAGCAATTACGAGATAATAACCGGTGTTGTGGTAGGCCGCAAGTAGCCAGGTACTACATATCAGAACTATAGTAGTACCTCTGGGAGCACAATGGCCTGAGGAGCATTATAAATTCCCCATCGACTGCAGCCGCAGGACAATGCCCAGGACAACGTCGGCGGACCATCCATCTCTGGAACAAAAGAGGAATGGGAACGTGGCGAGGACATGCGGACTTGGTTATCGCTTGCTCCATCGTCATTTCATAGGGTCGTGCATGGGGGTCTGGGGCGGTTGCATACCCCCGTGGAAAGCAATGTCATCCAGTTCGCAGCGTCATGGTGATCAGCGTTAACTGCGATCCATACTTAAAGAGTAATCTATCCAAAAATGATGATAGAAACAAAGTAAGCTGGAATTACTGAATGAAATAAATAAATACGTGTTTCTGCATTAAAATATTATGAGTTAAAAGTTAACATAACATCAGAAAACAATATCAACTTCAACTTCAAAATTAATAGAATGATAGGGTCTACTGAATCGATTCCAATCCTGTTATTTATTGGCATATTTAGTTTTATTGGTAGTTATTTTAGTCCTTTCAGTGTATTAGTAAATGATTTCAATTTTTTTTTTTTTAAGTTCCAGACTTCGTAGAGTAAAGGCACCCGCCTACATATTACCAATTATTGACGCTTGTAAATTAAATTTGATAAAAAAAAAAAGTTTTTAGGTTCATGTAGGATTTCCAACTTGGCGTCCTTTCAAAGGCTGATTAGTGTATATTTGAAAGGGTGCCAAGTTTGAAATCCTACATGATCCTAAACGCTTATTGTATCAAATTTAAGTTACAAGTGTCAATAATTGGTAATATGTCAATGATAGGTGCATTTTCTCTATCTTCTCCTCTCTTATGCTATTTCTTTCCAGTTATCTTCACGCAGCTCTGATAAATATTTGTTCATGTAATCTATCCATTTGGTTAATCGTGATCTATTGCTTACTACTGAGGCATCCGTTTCTCTTTATAGGCTTTCTGATGGATTGCTGCTAGCTACATACCCCCATATTACCTCCTTGCCTTCATATCATAAGATATTGATTGAGCAGTTTCTGTCAGCAGTTCTTCATTGGTCCTTCTACTCCATGCGTCAGTACTCTGATCCCAGATCGCTCCGGTTATCCTGTTGAGGATTTATCTCTCAATCATTTAATACATTTTTCTAGATTAATGGTTATTGCCTTTATCATACCATCCTGTTCCCTGAAGGTGAGATTTCCATAAATTTGTTCGTGATTTCAATACACTTGAAATAGGAAAGTAAACTTTGTTCCCGCTTGTTATTCGTTGCTCTATTTCTGACCGTTGTTCATCCATTGATTACTTCCGAGCACAGCTGTATCATCTGCGTATCTAAGGACTTAATAATTATTCTTACTTAAAATATTGATTTCTGGACTATATAAAGATGTATCTTATTTTTAATTTTATTATTGAGAATGGAAAGCAAAAGATTGAGAACTTAGTTATGATAACAAATGTATTAATTGAGAAGAAAACCATATATAATGGATTATAAAATAATTACTTAAAAAAATATTAAAATTAAAGTAGAAACCGCTCGACATTTTCAATTACTTCAGCAATTACTACACAAACGCTCGAAACTTCCAATTAATTTGCAATAAACTCACATACATGACTATAATAAGGCCTATTTAGACTTACGGAGATGAGCTATTAGTCTCCACTGAACCATCGAAGTCCTCTCGTATCTAAACCTTACAATCCAAAATTCTCCGTAAAATCCTCAATGCTCCCTACTTAGTTATAAATAAAACCATCCTTATCTACCTTAATATTTCAGATCTGGCCCAATCCAGATACCTATCCTTCCATAATTAACTTCTTTCTAACCTTGCTTCCTCTTCAATTCCTGATAACCCTCCGAGGCGTCTGAAAAGAAGATGGTCCCGTGATCTCTTAATGTAGAGATATCATTAGAGTGCTACCATTGGTTAGTTACTCAGCAAGTGTTTTGACGTCATTATATCCCATATGTTCAAATTTACTAAAAGTATTTCTTTAATACAGTTGTGAATATAATTAAGAAATAATAAAAAAAAATTAAATTTTTTATTGAAGTCCTTGTACCTCAGCTCCTTTATCGTTTTTCCAATATTTTTGAAATATAGCAGCTGTTTCTGTTTAATATTAATATAGATTGATATTAAATTTATGTTATTTATCAACTGTGGGTTGACAGTGACATTTTAATCTGAGTGGGTTGTGACTGTTCACAGAAATATATATATCTAGGCCAGGGAGACCATGGTCTGTTTCGTTTTACGTTTTTTTACTCCCCTCAACGTGTTTCTCTGCTAGCAATGAGGTGTTCTCATTTCCGATGGGTGTAGGTATCAATTTAATCCGATGTATTTTTAATTTAAACATTTTAATATAAATCTTAAATCCACCAGTTTTATATTTTAATTTGTATGGTCAACTTATATTCGATTTTGAAACTGGATTTTTCTAACTTAGTTTGCATTTATTCTTAAAATGAGCTTGGATGAAAAATATCTCTTTATACTTAAAAAAATGAATAAGAAGTCTCAAGATTTGGAAGCTAATTTGGGATTTGAAGAATTATATAATTCCAGTCTGAAATCAATATATGTATATTACTCTATGAAATGTAAATGATTTCTGCATAACGGACGCAGAAATCTCATATTCTGAGAATATTAATTTAATGCATGGGTGCCCAGAAGGGCGTTTTATCGCACAAGTTGCACTATCAAAATTTTTGAGAGGGGCACATTTTGACGGGTTTTTTTTATTTTTGAAGGCGTCACATTTCGACGGATATGAGAATTTTCGAAATGAAAGTTTCAAACCAGAAAACAAGAGGAGAGCAAAGAACGGACCAATTTAACCAATTTGGAAAACAAAATTGTTATGTAACAAAAAGTTTCGACAAGAATTATAGGTCATGTTTTATATCCCTTCTGTCAGATCAAAAGAATCGCATGTAAACTTTTTCCATTTTCGTTGAGGTGACATTTTGTAGCCAACAATTGCTATAACAAGTTTGCTACTATGGAAAATAGCAGAGGGAAATAAAATAAGCAATTATACTAACAAAGCAAAGCATAAAGAAAGAATCAATTTTTATGTTCTTTTTAAAAAAACCAACTCAGTTTTCACCTACGACCTTTTACACGACTTTTGCTCTTTTATTATAAAAAAAAAAATATTTTTCATAAATTTATATTGATATTATAAATTTAAAAATAATTTTTATTTTTTTTATTTATGAAAATTCTTGGAAATAGGACATTTTGGGGTACTAAAACCTGATGAACACCTTCCACTCAAATCGTAGGGTAATTTGATCGAGGAATAAGGTGTCCTACAAAATATTAGGCTGTTTGTCGTGACTTCCATCCCCGTGTCAAAATAACGGTATTATATTGGCCGAACGAAACGCTTCAATTTTTAGTACCTCAATTAATTAATTAATTAAATGAGATTTGTCCAATTTCTGAGAAATTTCGTGGATAAAAAAGGTTGTTGGTTTTGACAGGATAAAGCCATTCACGATGTTTTTGACGGATGATATTAATTAGATAGAAAGGGTTCTGTACCGCGTCCCATTACGTTTACTTTGATACGCTTTCAATCAGTTCCGCATATAATAATTTATATTTAAAATTGATATATAACCATCTTTCATTGTTATCATGTAATCCTTCATTTAGGATTTATCATTTTTATGATTCATGAAAGAAAGAGCGACGATCTATGACGGGGGAGGGGAGGGGGACTTTGCATGACTTAGTAATGAGGGAAGGAAGGTTTAAGCCCTGCCGATGCCTTTTGACCCTGCTCCGGCATTCAATGTTAATAACCTTGGGGTTACAACCTGATTCAACATTTTTCATCAATAATTAATTGTCTTCATAAAGTGCTGTTATCAAGCTAGGCATCGTAAATGTTGAATACATAATTTGTAGAAATATTTCCTATACAATTACTTTCACTTGCTATATTTATTGTTATTCCAATTAATTTTAATATGCTGCCAACATATTTATTTATCTATGGTTGATTGGTTGGTTGTGTAGTAAAGGCGTAGAACCTGTTGGTCATCAACGCCGTTAATTGAAATTATATCTTTTAGTTATGAATATTAAGACTTGGATAAAATTTAAAATACAGGTTAAGGTTAAAAGTATTTAATTGTTATTAAAGTTTAGTTATTTAAAGTTCGCACGTTAGGTAAAAAAGAAAGACGAAAAAGGAGGGGAAAAAAGTTGTAAAAGGAAAAATAGAGGTGGTGAGTGCTGCGCGAGAGGTTCAGATATTTTTTAAGATCCCTTCTTCGGAGAAGAGAAAACATTATTTTGCCTAGTATTTTTTCATCATTCATCATTTATCTATGTACACTATATATAATACATTAATACAGAGGATCTAAACAACGGAAAAATTATTTTCCGACTCTCAAGAGCGATGGATTTTGATGAGTGTAATATCTAACGAAAAGTAATTTTATGGAGAATAGAATAGAAAATCAACTTTGTTCTGGAACAAAGTCCCTGTACCTGAGAATAACAATATTGTTCATATAAATTAAGATTGAATCAGTCCAAAAGATCTATTACAGTAAAGAGTAAAGAATAATTAAAACATATGTGATCATATAAGTGTATGCATAGCTATTGGGATAAAATAAAGAAATCATACGAGCAATTGGATTAAAATGCTGCAATATAGCTGCCAAAAACAATAAAATAAAAATAAATAAATAAAATTAATTGTATAATCAAATCATTAATAATATAAAAATAACAAAAAGAAAAGAGTAAATAACTGATTTGCATCTGTTCCTTAAGATGTAGAAATAAATATTTAATGGTAATGTTAAAAATTATTGTAATATACATACTGAGCTTAGACGTAGATTGAGAGGATATACTAGTATATATACGCACAAACACCGAAGTGGATCCAAGATTAGTAACAAATGAAATAAATCTCAAAGGCATATTATCTTATGTACAGGAAAAATAAAAAAAATAATAATAAAAATAAACAAGCAATACCTATTCACAATGTTTTTTGAAAAGTGATAGGTAATCTTTTCCATTTTCATAACTGAAAAACTATAATTACAATAAAAGTAATTGATAAAATTGGAAGATTTCTAAACTTGGTTGCTTTCAAAAGACGGAACGGAACACAATTGTGTTTTGAAGATTTCGACGCGGAGATCAAAATGCGTTATCGTTCCTCAGGGCCCGGCTTATAATCCTCCCCTCTATTTAAAGTTTTAAGGAGAGGAT